TGAAAATGGACAGGAGGCTGGGCCCAAGGGATGGCAGAGAAACGGAGTATTAACAAAAACAAGTTTGTTTGAAAAGGCCATAATGAAACCTAATGTTGCATATGATTTTTAATGTATTTTATTTTTAATGAAAACTAAAATTATATCATTACTCCATTCCTCATCTTAAGGATTTTTAAGAAGAAAAACATAAAACATGTGGGAGAATATATGGTAAGACATAATCAATGATTGATTCTAGGAATTTGTTTGATCTTGGAAGGCATTTTAATTATAAGTTTGTATTGTTTTTATAATAACCAAATGCAGCACAAATCTGGGAATGAACTCGGTAATATTTAGGGAAGAAAGTTAAGCTACCCAAACTTTTTCTAGTAAATACAATGGAACCCTTACAGTCACACAGAAGGAAGGGTAAACCAAAGTCAGAGAGAGCTGGCCAACTTCCAGCAGACTCAGAAACACCACTCCTCCTCACAAAGAACCAGCTTGCAAACTCGGCCTCCAGACTCAGCACCTCATGATTTTCATGGGTCTGCTTTCACTGCTGGGGGACATAGCTTGGAGCCTGGAAGGCAGCAGTTCCCAAAACCTGTGGATCACAACCCCTTTAGGGGTCAAACAACCCTTTAACAGCGTCACCTAACACCATAGGAAAACAGAGATATTTACATTACGATCCATTGCAGTAGCAAAATTACAGTTATGAAGTAGCAAGGAAATAACTTTATGGCTGGGGGTCACCACAATATTAGGAAATGTATGAAGGGTCACTGCTTCCCTGTTCTATGGCCATAAATTACTACAACAAACATTATGAATGGAAAAACATTGGAAGATTCTTCTCTCTTGAAAGATTAAAAGGGCATAGTGTATGTCTTATTTTTAACAATCTTTTGTGATTCGGGAAAAGGAATCTTATTGTTGTGTAATTCCTATTCTAAATCAAAATTCTTTTAACACATTCTTTAATTGTTTATAAGTTCATCTGTAGTCTCCATGGCCTCTGTCACAGACTTTATTATTATCAAGCCATGGAGAAACTGTAACCTTGCTATAAACTCAAACACCCACAACAAAATAAGCCCAAACAGAAACACTGGCATCACAGACCCAGGGTGATATGCACAATTCAAAAAGAAGAGAGGAGAAAGGGCCAGGTTCAGGCAGCAACTCAGCTAGGATATATCTCCATGAATCCACTTGAGGCCCAGGACTCTAGATGGCAGAACTACTGTCTGACAATGTCTGAAATATGCTTCAAGCTATAAGAGTTCTTAAGAACTATACTTGTGCATTTATCATTTATGTAGCACGTTGTGCTTTAATTACTAATTTTCTTGAAGAACAATCCTTAGAACTAAAAAGAAATTCCTGTGTTTTCTCCCAGATTTTCAATTTTTTAGACACTACACTATTGGGATTTCACTGTTTCATCACATCTACTTTTAATGTGTCAGCCTCCGGCAATGTAACCAAACAGAAGTCATATCTGTATTTTCTAAAACATCTCTCCCCATTGACCATGATAAACACCAGTACCAACAACTGCACAGAGGGCCTTGCAGTACCAGTGTCAATTACAGTCTGGGGCCAGACAGTTGGTAGGGGGATTTTACCATGTTCTTTTAAATGGAAATGGCAATTTCTAGAATAGAACAGAATTAAGGATAACCTATGGCAGTCAGTGCATAAGGCTGACCCACTGGGTCACTCAGAGAAGCATAGAAAGCACAAAGTACCTTATGTAGGAATGTACATTATTCGTAAACTTGCTTATACTGGGTCGTAGTCATTGCTCCACAAATCTAACCTCAATTCATCCTGAAACCTGCTGTAACCATGGCCACTCCCAGAAATATAATCCCCCACTTAGGATCTTTAAATCAAGGAAATAAAGATTTCCCAGAAACCTATCAAACCTGCCCTTCAGACTATAGTGAACAACCTGAACCACACATGCTAGGAAGTTTAAAAATCAAAACAAAAGCCCATCTGCCATTGTTGCTTCCTAATATGACCTGATTAGTAAAATTTTAATAATTCTAGACTGCAAAAATTCAGTATAAGCATTCAGCAACCTAAACTCAAACGTATAATGTATTGTGAATAAGTTGAGTTTAATATTTTTTCTTCTATTCTAAAAAGTAACTTTGTTAGACCTTTTAGGGTTACTATTTGAAATCATGTTTTGTCTTTTTTAAAACTTTTTTATTGTTATTTATTTGTGTGTGGAAAGGGGGTGAGTTAAGGTCCATGGCTGTGCCACATTACACTTGTGAATATCAAAGGACAACAGGAACTCAAGTCATCAGGCTTGGCAGCAAATGCTTTTATCCACCAAGCAAGCCATCTTGCTCGCTTCCCACAGCATCTTTAAATCAATTGCAGATGAGTATGAGATTCAAAAAATACTTAAGTTTAGTCACAAAAAATTAAAAGCAAATTCATAATACAAAAAATCTTAATAAACATATGCCTGACACAAATATCTTAATCACTGTAAAGAGACCTGTGGTGGTGCTGGACAGATGGCTATGGTTCACAACCTATAAAATGTGAGTCCTATAGGGATTCTGCCTTTCTCAGTAACTTTTCCACAGTCATTAATATAAATAAAATGCAGGACAAAAACGCAATACTAATAAAATGTACTTCTACTTGCAGAGCAGAAGTAAGTGGCTGGTCAGCTTGAACTTCCCATAATGTTAATCACCTGTCAAATTATTCAGGATGCTCCCAGGAAAAGCCATGATATTCTATTCACTAATTGAGTTAATGCTACACTCACAATCAAGATAACTAATCTTTTTCAGTCCTGATCATTTAATTACCTCATTCTAGTACATAAATCCCCCTTAGTTCAAAATGATTACAAGACTAAAGTAAATAAGTGAATGAAAGGATAATTCAAATAGACTTAGCCTCATAAAGTTCAAGTGGAGTTGATCTTGTCTTGTAAGTCTTTATTTTCTCCAATTCCAGAATTAAAATGCATTTATCCATAGGGTTTTCTAAGCCCATTGTAACTTGTCCTACTTATTATGTGATTATATCTAATAAATTTAGGCTTGTTAGATTTAAATTTTCTTAACAGTCATCTTCCCTAGCTACTCCACAGGACACAATTCACCTATCCTGCTCTGAATTTTGTACACTGTTATTTCATGTGTTTTACCTGTGTGTTGTATTTAAGGTATATGTGAGCCAAATGGTTCCATTAACACAATGACAAGTGTACTTTGGTGCCCATCTGTGTTCTCTAGAATCTTGACTAACAAATACTAAAAAGACATTACAAAATAAATGTCTTTTTTAAAATGTGGAAACACCCAAAGTAAATGTGTGTTATGTGATATCTTTCCTATACTTATTATGATAAATTTGATATAACAGTAGAGTGTGTTGTAATGATTTCAGTTGAAGAATAAACAAATAACAAAGAAAGCTAAACAATTGCTAATACCACAGGTAGCCACCAGTGTCCAATGTTTTAAAAATGGAACAAACAACTTAATGGTGATAGAATGCCTGTATGACAAAGAAATTGCTATTTTTCAGCTAGAAAAAAAAAATAAATGAAAAATCAAAGACACACACACACACACACACACACACACACACACACAATTCCTAAATGACAATCACATATCTTTAAGCCATATCACATATCTAAAAGCCACTAATATCATTATCACAGCATCTGAATAGAGACCCTATCAACAACAGGCTAGAAAAGGCATACTACTCATTGTGAGTAGTACTGAGGATGAGGCTGCTAAAACATGAGATATGTTTAAAAATTAAAATCACTTCAATCTTTCTTCCAAAAGAAAAAGCTCTGAGTTACAGGATATCTACCAGATAGACAGAGATGAGGTATAAATAACTTATGTGCTTACAGTCTGGCCTTAGGTTAAAAGTGTCCGGTAAAAGCCAGTGTGATAAGGAACTTCTTTGTAATCAAATTATAAATTCAGCCAAAACCACTCTCTGCTGTCTTTCACTTCTTGGCTGACCTCCTGTCACAGTTAATGTCAGTTGTCAGCTTAACACACTTGGGAAAGAGGGACCTTTACTTGAGAAGTGACTATATCAGATTGGCCTGTGGGATTGTCTTTATGGTATTTCCTTTATTGTTAATAGATGGCAGACCCAGTCCACTGTGGGCAATATTATACTTGGACACTTGGGCTTAGGCTAAATAAGAAAGCCGGCTGAGCAATCCTTGGAAAACAAGCCAGTAAGCAGCAACCCTCCAGGGTCTCTGTTGCAGGACCTGCCCCCAGATCCCTGCCTTAAAACTTACGCTTTCTGCCCCTAGTTGGTTATTGTCGGTGCTTTATTAAAGTAAAAACAAAGCACTTCCATTTTATATTTTTCATCCAATCCCCATTATTCACAACTTCTATCGAGCTCATTTGTTTCTCAATGAAGTAAATACAAGTGATTCTGTGTGCCAATCAGTTTCTTAGTCATTATTTCTGCTCTGTTTCACGTTTCCTGGAAAAATTGGTCACTATAGGGAGATATAATGGTCTTAACAATACTGACATTTGTAATGTGTTAAAAGATGATTTTACCCATATAGGAAAATGCACACTGTGGAAATGAATATTGCAAATCCTAACTTAGATAGGTAGAGGAAATCTGTCTCTGAAGAGATCTGTAGTACAAATACAATCCCCATTTATAAGTAATACTGGAAATCACTGACCATCTTAATTCACTAATGAGGAGAGGAGAGGTCTCAGAACACATCACTTTGTTTCTTAGCAGTGAGGCTGCCCAAAACCCAAAACCCACCCCCACTAAAAAAAAGTTAAAGAATAATACGGGAACTATCTTAAGCTAATTTATTATAATACTTGTTTCTAATTATGCATTCAAAAGCCTTCTGATTGCAGTTCTGCACAGGCCTAAGCACTTCATTAGACAAATGCATTGTTTTCCACACTGCATGTTGCAGCATTATTTTTCAACCTGACAGCTTTACTTACTGTCTTAGAAGCAGTATTAATGTACTGCATCACCATTTCTTTTTTGATACTGAAGTCCTTTTCCCGCAATGGTGCCTTTTTGTCTTCATTTAAATTCATATCTTCCTGGAAAACACAATTAAAATGTCTGATTTCAGAATCTAAGTAGAGCAGCAGTTCGACATACACTCTATGAAACAGAAAAATCAATAATTTGTGACTAAAGCAGCATTAATTGTTTTGCAATGATCTACACATGGTTCTGCCTGAAGGAAGGAGAGCTGGATAGACAGAAAGCATACTAGAAAATTTAACAGGTAAAACACTTACCAGAAAAGCTTTAAATTCACAGCAGGCTATTAAAATTATATTCACATCACTATAGATAATTAGACAGTTGCAGATTTCTGCCTTTCATAAGGTCATTAGGATTCAAAATTTCAATATATTTATTTATTTTACAACAGCTGCACCTGAAGCTATCTTGTACTGTTTTAAAGAGATAATCTGCATACTATAAAAATAAAAAGTAAATAAACCAGCACCTTGCAGGATAGCTACAAGCACATGCATAATACCAGATGCCTAATATTAATGCAAGAAAATGCTATAACACTCTATGGTTTTAATCCTTTCTGTCTATCCCTATCAAAAATATTAAGTAGTTAATTTACTGGATGGTCTAAATAACATGAAAGTTGAGTTTCTGAATGAATACAAGAATTTGTGAATTAGAACAAGATAAATGTCTAAAATTTCTCAAAGGGTCTAAGCATCCTACATTTTACTGTAAGACTAATTATGACTAATAATCCAAGTAACCACATAAGCATAAGAATTCCATAAATTGCTTAAGAGTTTGTTGTGGTAAAAGATGGGAGGCTGAGGTAGGACAAAAGGACTGGTGAAGGAGGAGAGCTCAATAATTTCCTCAGGATCATAGCCCAGGGCCACACATAAGATGATTCAGAAAACAACTGCATCTATATAAATTCTAGATCTACTACAAATGAATACACAGATTTCTCCCAAGAATTATATATTCATTCTTCAATGACACTCATTCATTTATCTGATACCAAACAATTCTAGTGCTTTAAAATAACAATTTTTTTCGTTTCATATTGATAGAAATATTTACACTGGAAATATTTACTCCCTGAGCACCAGGGAGGCTGAGGCAGGAGGATCATGCGTTCAAGGTCAGCTTAGACCATATAGAAATACCCTGTAGAAAGGGAAAACGGGGAGAGAGAGAGAGAAGAAATTTTGAGATTTAGAATACCCAGTTGAACAGACTGGCAAAAGGAAGTAATTAGTAATGCCCCTTCTTGGTCTAGTTAAGAGCCTAGGAAAATAACAGTTTATTTGCTTCCTTTCCCCCTCTAAGCTAGTGTTTCTCAATAGGCTTTACCCTCACCTATAATTTTGAGGGGCCAGCGAGATGGCTCAGAGTCTTGCTGCCAAGCCTGACAACCTGAGTTTGAGCTCAGTGACTGGCTTAGCAGAGAAAACTAACTACCACAAGCCTTTCTCTACTCTCCACACATGCATTCTTCACACACATGCATCATTTTATGTGTACATATTGAAAAATTTTGACATTTTTGGAATTCCTGGGGACACTTGATTGTGGCAGTGACAGGGAGAATGACAACACCAATCAAAAAGACAAATTCTAAGAAACACTCCTCAGTTAATCCTATAAAAACAAAACAGGAGGTTGATGTAAAAAGATGCCCCTTTAAAGAGGGCTACAGCTTGCTATGCAAACCTGGAGACCTGCATTCAATCCCCATGTAAAAGAGGCCATCAAGTTGTCCTCTGATCTTCACAAGTATGCTGCGGCATATGTATTCACATTGTGTAGTTTGAAAGATAGAGCTGAATGCTTGGTCACTAGGGATTGGCACTATTTGAAGGATTAGGAAGTATGGCTGTGTTGGAGGAAATAAGTGAAAGTAAGTGGGCTTTGAGGTTTCAAAAACCCATGGAGTCTTCCCCTCTTCCTTCTGCCTCTTCGTCTGAAAGTAGAACTCTCAGCTACTTCTCCAGCCCCATGTCTGACTACATGCTGCCAAGCTCCTCATCATTATAATGGACTGAACCACTGAAACTATAATCAAGTCTCTAATTAAATGCTATCTGGTATAAGAGCTGCCTTGGTCATGGTGTCTCTTCATAGTAATAGAACACTGACTAAGACACAAATCATATACACACAATGTGATGATGATGATGATGATGACGACGACAACGACGATGATGAAAAAATTATCAAAGCTCGGCCTCTATTCAATAGGATTAGACACAAAATGAAAAACTTGAAGGTAATATGTAAACTCATATAATAAGTATTACATGGGTTTAATGTACATTAAATATACCAGAAATTAACTATTCCATAGGATATAGCTGCACTGCCTTTTCCAAATTCTACCAACACAGTGCTTTTGTTCCAGAACTGTAGAGCATGGATACCAAAACAGCACGCCAGCAAAGAAGCAGACATTCAGGGATATTCCCTTATGGTTCCTTGAATGGTCAGAACAACTGTCTGTCTCTATTAACATGCATGATTACATGGCATTATACTGAATTCTTAATTATGACTTTAGGTAACTCATTTCTATAGATAATTTCAGTGGCTATAAGCCAGGCATAAAAAGACCAATAGTGTATGTTGTCACTCATGAATAGAAATTAAAAGCACTGATCTCCAAAGACATATACAGTAAAAGAGCACTTTGCCAGAGGTTGGTAAGGGTAGGGGGAAGAAAGAGAGCTGGTTAAGGGCATAAAATATATCAAGTTTTATCATTCTACAGTACAGTTGGGTAACTGTAATTCCTGATTTATTTACATTTTAAAATAAAAAAGGATTTAACTGTTTCTAGCACAAAAAACTGATAAATGGTTAAGGTTATAGAAATGTTAATTTCCTCACTTCGATCTTTGCACATTGGATGTATGTGCTGAATTCACACCGAAACTCATCATGACTGTCTACAATTATTAAGTGACAATTAAACATGACAAGAACTACACTGGAAGAAAGAGACAGAGTTAGGGAATAATTGTTATAGAAAGTAGGGAGACCTAGAAGTATCTATGACCTGTATTAAGTTACTTAAAACAGAAAGTTAAAAGATTTAATAGGCAAGAAACATACAACTTTTTGGTTGAGCTAAAAGCAAATTAAAATTTCAAAATAGATAGTTGAAAGGAAAATAAAATCAAAGCTACTGCTTTCATTTCAAAGAGGTGTGTTACCAGATGTCATTCTTCCATGACTAAGAATGGTTGTGATAGCTGGTGAGCACACAGCTGGTAAGCAGTACAGAGAGGGTCTATGAGAGTACTTTCTGAATAACTGAATAACTTGAATCAATGGATTGAAGATTCACCCTCATCCAAGGGGGGAAGCACTATCCAATTGGTTGAAGGCCCAGAACCTCAAAAGGCAAAGGAAAGCTGAACTTTCTCTATCAAGTGAGTACCCTTCTTTCCTCATCTTGCTTCTACAACTCTGGAAGTTGAGTCCATGTGTACTCCAATTGTACATTCTAGGTTCTCGGTACTGGGCCTTGCACTGGGAACCACTGGATACCCACTAGCCTCTCTCATTCTCTACTTGTAGAAGGCCTGTGCTGGGAATGAGGCTCCATAATTCTTTAAGACAGTTCCCTTAATAACAACACTTCCATGTGCCAATCTAGCAATTGGCATTCCTACTGGCTCAGCTGTCTCTGGAGACACTCACCTTGTGCACAATTATACTTGGTTGGGCAGTCTCAATGCTTTCCTCTGAGGGTTAATGGGAACTCTCCTACATAAGTATGGCAGTCATCATCCTGAGTAATTTGAGATGACAGAATCCCAATGCCCTGTTTTGTTTAAAGGGATAAGGGAATAGAGGAAGAAAATTGGACTTACTTAACCTCCCAACACAGAGCAAAGCCTGATGCAGCACCCCAGGCATATGACTACACCTACCAAGTTATTATTCTCTATATATTCAAGAGGAAAGTGCACTGCCATCAAAAACAAGGAGGGAGGCAGAAAAATAATGATATGGAAGTACACAATGCTGACTTTTCAAATAGATTTTTATCTATAGGAAAGTGTTAACAACAAAAACCCGTGAAGCAGTTAGCATCCAGTGCTGAGAAGTAATGAAGTCCCCAAAAAACACATAGGAAGTTTTGTCCTTGAAAATGCACAGCTACCTTTTTTGTTACAATTCCAGAGAGATAAGGCCTCTCAGATGACTATCTAGAAAATTGAGCAGGGTAAGATTGGGAAAGATAGAATCAACATGACACCAATTTTCATATTTCTTAGTTCATTTTCTCTTAAAATAATCAAGTCTCCATCTTCTTAGTTGAGCTTCCATGAAGGCAGTGAGTGAGTAGCCCCTGACCAAATGTAGTGGATGATGCGGACAATCTGAGGATAATGGAAGAGGGGGAAACAGAACAATAGCAACAGTGGAATGCCACTTCAATGTAAATTGCGACAGTCTGGACCTGGGGGGGGGGGGGGGTACCTGAAGAACATAACAATAAATCACTTAGGGGATCCTCATCACCTCAGGTAAACGTTGGCCACCCTGGAGAAACACAGATGTATGTGGTGGATGGAGCATCAACCAGAATCATTGTGACAACTAAAACTAATTTCCTTCATTAAAATGAGGTTTCTAATATAACTAAAAATTAAAAAGAACTCATATAGATTGCCTAAATGAGCAATATAAATCATTATAGATTAACTTATTCTTCCTTCCAAATTTAATATGTGATACCTTCTACACTGTAAATAAAGGCAGAAAATGACAGCGTAACTACAGATCTCTTACAGCCCCAATATGACAGCTAACTTCAATGTATTATTTCATCAAATGTGTATTATAGATAAAAGTACTGAATAGAAACAGCACAGAAGACATAATTATAACACTGGTAAGTAATTTGGTACAACTGTGCAAAACTGTTAATAAAAGGAAAAATAATAACTTTACAAAAGACAAACCCTAAAATCTCCACCTTCCATAATAGCCCAGGCTAACACCACCAGGGACATCAATGTACATATCCCCGATGATGTATGGGGAAGGATACATC